GATTTTTATTCCCAAGAACATTTTCAAATAGAATCCATAACATGAGAAACAAAGGATTTCAGAGAAAAAAGGTTTCTGCAAGTGACAGAGTAACACTGTTATGGAGTTCAGCCTAACCTTTCACCAGGGTACATGAGATACAAATTATTTTACAGTGGCAGTAAATTAAAGACGCAGATTAGTTTAAAAGTAGCTACATGGTTTGTTAGGCAAATGTGTTCCCTGCCCATTTAATTTATTATTCTTAAAATATACACATGAACATAAATGTCACACAAACATCTGTAGCACACCATTTCTATCTTCTTTGGCTCTAAGGAAAGCAGAATATAAAAATCCTGCACCCAAATGAATAATTTTGATAGAAAAATGTAACTCTAACAGAAGAATGATTAATGGCCACACGGGAATTTTACAAATTTTACAATACAAAACTTCTGCTATTATTAATAACCTGCAGCACATATTGAAACAGTTTGCAAACCACACACTATTTCAGCCAGTCCCTGATCGTGGTTTATATGTTCTCTTCTTGTGGCACTACTGGCAATACAGATTTTTGTTTTACAGTGAGGTTTTACTAGATAACTATTTTTATTTCATCAGAAGTGCCCCTCTACCTCTTAACCTTATATTTAAAGCTTAGAAACTAAAGTCAGAATTCTATACAAAAATGGAGACACATTGAGTCATTCCATACATCTGCCCTGAGACTAAAGTTGAAAAATATTTGTCTTGTTATTAGAAGCATGAATTATCCAAGGAAAAGTGGTGAGAGAGAAAAATTCAACCAGCATGTATAACCAGCCGTAGATAAAACAGCAAACATAACATCAAAATACTTTCTTACTCTCAAAAAAAACTGTAGAAAACAGCATTAAATAAGTCAAGAATTACTTGTCACAATTATTCTACTTGGAAATGAAAATAACTGACTGAATGAGCAAATCAAACTGTACTATTTGTGACTGTCTCTGCTCAGATCAATTTTCCCTGAAAATAGTCACAGGACTTGAGTGATCATTACTATGGCACAGATGTCCTTCACCAAGAGTGAGCTGGGGAAGTCTCCAGCCTCAATTCCTGATGTTAGTTAGTATCTTAATATAAGAGAACAAGCATAAAGAAAAGTAATGGAATCTAAAATTATTTTCCTGCCCAGACAAGTCTTTGAGCGAACACATTACCCTGATCTTTAAAGATTCTCAACTCGGATCACACTGCCTGGGAAAGAGGCAAACAGTTCTGCCCCTCCTCAGAAAGAAAACGGGGAGTATCACCTGAAGTTCTCAGGTAACAGGTTGCAAAGAGAACAGAGGAATGACTTATTCACACAAGACATGAAGTGTAGTGCTCATTGACAGAAAACATGGGAGCTGCAAAAACCATACATGGGCTCGGAATTTTTTATAAATTAAGTATATACATTAAACTGAAATCCGTACCAAACATCATCCCCACTGAAAGACTGGGAGAGCTGACCTAAGGAGTAGCCCTATATGCCTGCCCAGGAAAGACTGTAAGAATAAAGCACCTGCTGTCAAATACTGTCAGCTGTGGCAGACAAGCAGGGCTTGAAACAATGGTCCTATCATACACCAGGATCTCAGAGCTTTAGACTTCAAGAGAAAATAGCAGATTAAACTCAAATGGCTGTTCCTGTGAAGAATGGTCTTTGGGTTGCCCCCTCCAAAAAACCCCAAGCACACACCACAAACAGAAAGAAACTACAACTACTGCTCCAGACGATCCCTTCTCCAAGAGAAAGATGAAACAATGGTTTGAGACTGTGATACTATCCATAAAATATTTAGCCCTCTAATCATGCCTGAGAAGATAATTTCCTTCCCCACCTTTCACAGCCTTTTTAAAAGACATCCAAAGAAACAAAAATGGACTACAGAAAGATCTTTTCCATCATCACTGTAATTAAAGCAGGTTGACAATTTTATTCAAATGACAAAAGGCTTCTAGTGACTTGTAAATGACAACTTATACAAAGCTGGGGAAAGTAACATGCAATTTCAGGGAAAAAAAGATGTGGTATTTAAATAGTTCAAATATGTATTAAGATATTGAGGGGAAAAAAACCCAGAACAACAATGCCATAACCCTTTTTTGTCATCTGAAAACTCAAAATACTTCAAGTCACTGTCAGTCACACAGCTCTGTACTCCAGAACACAGTTATGAAGAGCACACCACTAAACACCATTCAGTGCTAGAGAGAACATTAAAGGCACAGGCAGAGAACAGCAGTACCTTTAATGTATCTCACAGTCTGCTAACACACAATGCACAGCCACACAATTGCTCAGAAACATGGACTTTTGAAAGCTAGTCAAGAAAACCCTGCCACCTTCCTCTAACCCAGCAACACGAGCAGGAATCCCAAGAATTGTATCCATGGCTGGATACAAGCTAACATAACTTTATCCTAGAATACTTAATCTTTTTAGTAAGCATCACCAGCATGCATAATAAATTAAAAAACCCAAACAAACAAGACCAACTGAATAAACCACAAAAATATGATTACTGCATGGAATCCCAATGACCTTCCCACCCTAAAGGACATTCAGGTTTTTGGTTTTGTTTGGTTTTATGGTTTTTTGTTGTTTGTTTGTTTGTTTTTTTACACAAAATGAAAATTTCTTTTCTTTATGTTATTTCCTTGTGCATACTGATTTCTTCAGACTAGCACTGCAATTACGGTGAAGCTTCCTTCTCAAAACAGGTTGTAGCAAGACTGTAGGCCCTCTTAAATTATGCAGACTCACTTGGTGAAGATACAGCTTCAAAAAGCTTACTATGTTCCCAAAACATCACATCCCTCATATATGCAATCTTATTTTTAAAAGACTATGGTCCATGGTGAAAGGAAATTTAGGAAGCAAAACACGGCAGAGCAAATCTATCAATTGCACAGAGCTTTACCTATCAAGAGTCTTTATGTACTTGGGAGGGGTAGGGGGAGAGAGGCAGGAACAGCTACCCAAAACCTTGTTAAACCTTGAAAGAGATGGTACTTGAAGACAAACTGTGCCAACTGCAGTCCCCTGCTACAGTTCTGTTCATCTGCAACACATCACACAAAGCCAACGCTCTGAGATCAGAACTGAACGTCCATGTTGACAGACTCAGCAATACCAGTATTCTTTTATGGATAAATAATCCAGTTATGCTTCCAAGCACCACAAAATAAATCCCCAAAACAAATAAACAAAAAGCACCAAACATAAACAAAAGCAGGACTTCGTACTTTTCCCTTGAAAAACAAAACCAAGCTATCTGGTATCAGACATGCCTATAGGTCACTGAAAAAAAATTTCTGAGAAAAATATCAGCGTTCCTCAGCACTGCTGGACTTTGAACACGTACACATTAACTTTCAGTCACAACAGGAAAAAATAAATACTTTTCAGGTATCTGACAGAACTTCATTCTCTGTAAGACAAGGATTCAGGCACCTCACAAATAAAGAGCCCTCCTACCATTCCACCCCCCTGACATTACAGAAAAACAAATGTGTCTCTGCTCACCCTGAGACTGCTCTGAATCTTCCAGACTTTATCTCATAGTGAAAAACATTCAATACTAAAACCAGACTGAAGCAGTCTGGATTAAACAGATGGCACTCTATTTAGAACAGTTTCACTGTTAATAACATGATAATGCCATTCCTCCTGAAACTCTTCTCGTGCACTTCCAGTATCCCTATTAAAAAAACCCGGAAACCCATAAGTAGTTTTACATCAAAATATATTTTAAAAAAAGGTACTATAGCCTGTCCCAAAATTCTGCCAGCATCATGCAATAATCAGTGTTCATTCTCATTCTTAAAAGAGTATCAGAAATTAATAAAACGGAGTTTGTATTCTGCTAACAAAAACCAGCATTACTGTATTCAGGAATAATTTAAGTCTTTATAAGTCACTGACTGTGTAGTTATCTTTTACCAGTCTCTTTTCAGACGAAGGGAACTATGCACTCAAGCTTGATGAACACAAAACATAATTTTAATTAATCAGATACGAAGGCAATTGACACTTCTCAATCACACAGCCGCAGCATGCAAAACGCCGAGCCCCCGGAGACAAGTGCTCGGCGAAACCAAGTAACCATCCCACTCAAGAAGCAGCTGTCAAGAGAATTCTTAACTTCCACTTACCTTTCAGTGCACTTCCAGGATTTCGGGATGCCTCCCCGCTTCTCCTACGGAAACAAACACCAGCGCTCCTTTAAGACATACCCACTGCAAACCAAAAGCCAGCTCCTGGCACCAGCCGGGCTTGCGAGCACCTCCGCTTTCCCGCACGGCTTCTCCCGCTGCCGGGGCACGCCCCGAGGGCGGGCACAGAGCGGACACTGCCCGGGCCCCGCCGCCGCTCCCAGGGCAGGGCGGGGGAACGGCTCTCACACAGCACGGGCAGGGGGCGCCGGCCGAGGGCAGAGACCGGGGGGAACAGGGAGCGGGGAACGGGAGAGGGAGCGGGGAACGGGAGAGGGAGCGGGGACGGGAAAGAGGACAGGAGAAGGAGCAGGAACGGCAGCGGGAGCGGCGCTGGCGGGAGCACAGGGAACAGTTCGCGCCCCCGCACGCACAGACCCTGCGGGGCTTCCGTCCGTGTCTGCACCGCCGGCAGCGACCGACTCCGGCGGGCAGCCAGCGAAGGGCGCGGGCCCCGCGGTGCCGGTGCCAGTGCGAACCCAGCCCCTTCGCCCCCCGCCCGGCACCGCCGCCCCCTCACCCCGCTCCGCTCCGCCGCCGCCGCCAGACCCGCACCTCAGCAACCCGCCCGCCCATTGGGCCACGCCTCCCGCAACAAGCGCCGCACCGATTGGCCGGTCTCCCGTCAGCGTCTCCTTCCCCTCACCCCTCAGCCCGAGCCGGCGCCGGTGGTCCCTGCGCGGGTCCTGCCTCGTCGAGCCGGGGCAGGAGGGTTGCCGGTGGCAGCGGGGCGGGCGGCGGTCCCGCAGCCTCCGCACCCGCGCCAGGCCAGCAGGAAGGATCGGAACGAAAGCTTCCCGGAACCCGCGTGGCTGGCTGCGCTTCCTGTAGCGGCTGGTCCTGTCTCAGCTTCCGCTTCCGGGTGGCGCTGCGTCCTGAGCAGGGTCGCGGAGCGGGCAGGTACCGGGGACGGGACTGGGAACGGGAACGGGAACGGGCCCTGCCTGCCAGAAGGACCCGTGTGCTAGCTGGGCAGGGCAGCGCAGGCAGGGGCGGCTGTCGCTCTGGGCTGTGCCCTCCATGCCCCGCGCGGGCCGCCCCTCGGGCACGGCCTGTGCTGGCCCTGCGGGCGGGGTCGCCCGGCTGGTGCCGCAGTGCAGCCCCCTAGCCATGCCAGGGCATGACCTCCTTGTAGAGTGGTGAACATTGATAGCAGAGAGGTCTTGTTTTTTTCTGGCAAGGCTGTAGGCTGGGGTTTAATTCGGGGGGGGGTATTTTCGAGTAGTGACAGCGTTAATGCTGCTCTCCGAGTTTCCCTCTGCAAGAAGACCCTTTTCGCTTGCCTACAGGGCTTGGAGTCTTCTTCAAGAGTTACAGGCACCTCTGTATTCCAGTCAATTTTCCTAAAAGTTCAGGACGTTAAATATGTTCTTTGCCACCTGATATGTGTTAAAATGGGAAATCTTGGCTCGAAGAAGTCTCAAGTGCCTTGTGAAAATGGAGACTTCAAAGCTGTCATTGTTTTCTTCCAGTCCTTCAGGATCTCCCTGAAAATGTTCACCTTCCCATCTGCCTTGATCGCTGTTTTTAAAGAGAAACTTCATATTTTCGTAGTTCTCTAAGGTGTATGTAAATAGAGTGTGTATTTTTCAGCCTCATCAAATGACTGGTAAGGTGCATCTCCTTGCCCTCTCATCTCTCCTGGACCTGTTGATCACCACAGTTACATTTCACTGAACTAGAGGCAGCTGAAAAGGAGCTGAGCAGCCGAGGCTTTGTTCCTCTCAGGTTTTTCTTCAGAGCTTGGCGCTCATAGCTCTGCCATACCTAGATTAGAAGCTTTCGTTCTTAAGTCTTTTTGACATATCGTGGAAAGCCTGTAAGATAATGGGCTCTGGTGTTGCTGAAAGGGCATTTACAGACATTGGAAGCCATTGGTTTGCTTACACTCTTCTCTGGCACAGGAGATTGACACAGCTGCTCCAGGGGTGTTGTGGTGGTGGTGACTTACAACACAGCAACACTGAACTCTGCATGGTTTGCTTTACTGGGTGTAATCACCCACTTCTGGAATGCAGCGTGAAGTCTCTCAGCTCTTTGTTTTACAGAACAAAGCTCTTTGTTCTCTGTTCCTTTGTGTTACCTCCCCATTTTACCTGTACAGGGGATTGTTCTTTGCAAGTGTGTGAAAACAAGACGACGCTCTCTGTGAAGTAACAGACTTTCCTTTTGCTGTAGGTATGGGACATGGAAATGAACACGGCCATGGCCATGGCCACAGCAAAATGGAACTCCCTGACTACAGGCAGTGGAAGATAGAGGGCACCCCACTGGAGGAGGTCCAGAGAAGGCTGGCTAAGCGGGGTCTTAGGGATCCGTGGGCTCGGTAAGTCCAGCAGCCTCAAAAATAACCTTGATGTGTTGTCTTGTAGCATCAACTGGACCTTGTCATTGCAGATCATTCTTCCTTTGGTAAAAACAGTGAAAGTTGGTTAGAATTTCAGTTAAGTCTTTGTGTACTTTTTGTGTAGAGGTCACACCTTCCATCCCCTTGACCAGTCTCCACACACTGCAAGGCAGCCTTGCCTTTTTGTGATGTCCTGTGATGATACAGCTCAGGCACAGTGACCAATACCTCACTCCCCTCAGTAATACTAGGCCTGCACATGTAAGTAAGCCTGTCCTTCTCTGCAAAGAGACTGTGTGCTCAGATCCTGATGAGAAGGCAATGGAACTGACATTCTGAGTAGGAGCAGCATTCCTCATACACAACAGGAGGCCTTTATTTGAAAAGAAGTGTACTTGTATACAGGGTGGAATTGCATTCAACTGTGCACTTCATTTGGCTAAAAGTGAATGACATAATGGAGGATCAGCTTTTACCTCTTAAGTTGTCCCACTCTACAGTGAGTATCTCCTCCTTTTTAGATAGAGCAATTCCGGATCATTTAGGAAGCTGTTAAAACAGTGCTTAATGTATTTCTCCCACCTAGTGAATTATGCAATACTTTGCTCAACCACCTTTTTATCTTGGGGAATAAAAATGCTAAATGTCTTGTGCTGTGTCGTCTGTTTCTTCTGTAAAGGAAAAGTTGCATGAGCAAACTATTCCAGGAGCCTTCATAGAAAAGGCTTTACTTCAAATCACTACAAGAAAAATGGAAGAGCAAATAGGTAATCTGTTAAAAAGTTGTTTCATGCTACAACCTCTGGAGGCGTTTGGGATTGACAGAACTTTTTTCCTTCCTTTGAAATAGTTTAAAGCTGTGAACATAAAGTAAAACACACTTTTAATGATGACACGAATCTTTTGAAATATCAGTCCTTAATGAATTTTCCAGGCCAGTATCACATTTATCTTGCCTCTATTTCTGTGCCTTTCCACCTTTATGGCAAATGCACATTAATGTACATATTCAATACAGAATAAGCTTTGTGAAAGATGCCATATTTGGAAACTTTAAGCCTGTATCAATTAGGCCCTATACTGGCATCTAGACAATACACTTCCATGCCCAAATGTTTTCATCCAGAGTCATAAAATCCATCTGCACAAGGGAATTATCTGTGAACATAAATACCTGACCCCCTTGTTTTAAAACTCTGTATCTTCTGGAAGGACAGTTCTGATTTTATTGCTCGGTTCTTTTTCCTTTTCTTAAGGACTTCTGAGTCCTTAGAAGAGATAAACTGCATCCACCTCTATAGGTAACAGTGGTCCTACTACACATAAATGTTGGTAGTCAGCTAGTGACTAAGGTTTCAGTAAGAATGTATGTTGACAACAGCAAGGCAAAACAGTGTGAAGTTTGTAAATATTCCGTAGCTAAAGCTAAATACAGTCTCTTCAGTCTTTTTTTTTTTTAATCATCTGAACCTAATATGTTGTATTGTAAAACAGAAAGTGCCTCCACACTAGGATGAGTTTTTTATGTCTGGAAAAACTTTCCTTGTAAGATTTAACTATGCTAGATACTATGATAAACTATGATTTAACCGTGCTAGATACTGTCTAGCATGGTGAGGAGCCTTTGTAGTTAGTCCATTCCATGCAAGGGCTAGTGGGTTCTGATTTTTTTTCACAGTAAAAACAGATGACAACCATTACAAAAATTTGGGGAGGTGGTTCTTTTCATGTAACTATGATGTTTCCTGGAGTTACTTGTATTTCAAATTACACCTGTAAAGATTTAACAGTTAATATAGTGAACTTGACTTGTGGTAACTCCTGGTACTTAAATGACAGAACATTCTATAGAGGTTCAAAGTATCTCTAATTGAAATACCTTCAGCAAGCGTTCTTTACAAACAAAGATATTCCTGCTCATGTTTATCATAGTGGCTCCACTGATCTTGTTTTTAATTTTGGTTTCATTTTTCTTCTAGTAATGAAGCCTGGAGATTTATGGGTGGCTTTGCAAAACCTGTCACCATAACAGAAGTCTTTACTAGAGGACTCAAGTGGGGATTTGCAGCTTTTGTCATAGCTCTTGGCATTGAATATACACTGTTTCCTCCAAAGAAAAGTGGAGGCCATCATTGAAGATCAAATATGACAACTTAATACTTACTAATTGTAAGCTGAAACACACATAAGCCTGCTGCTCACTCTGTACTTATAACATGCATATTAAAGTCTGTCACAGGCAAAACCATGTTTGTTTGATTTTATTATACTTTTGTGGAAGGATCAAAAAACACAGCCAGAGCAATTTAACTGACCTTGATCTGGGGGAAAACCAACGCAAGACTGCTCTTGGGTTTGCTGTACCACCCTTTAAAGAACAAGGGAAACTATCAGACCAGCTCTTTCAAGCCCTGCCAACATTCTGTTAAATGAAATTGAGAACTGTGTTGCTTTTAAGAGAAAATTTGTACTGTATTTGTTACAGGTTTAATAGCTATCATTTGCCAGTAAGTGGTAATGAATGATCTGTCATTTCTTAGATGTATATGTTACTATTCACTCTTATGTCTCTAAATAAAAATACTACCTTAGAGCTTTAAAAACTACCCCAAATCACCTCAAAGTATATGTGAAAAGACCAAGGCTTATACTTAGTCATATTGAACAGATAATGAACTTGGCAGGCACTATGCACCAAAATAATCTGCTGTGTAATATCCAGACATTAAAAATTACATTGCTGCCACATTTGCTTAGTAAAGTGGAATAAAATCAACTCAGCACTAACTGTACCTTATTTAATATGACTTCCAATATACTTGACTGTACTGTGAAAAAGAGAAAGAAAAATTCTTTTTTTTCTTTGTTCTGGTGTATTAAGTACATATTTATTTTTACACCTACAGTATTTTAATACTTTGTTTTAAATGTCCTGGTTTTCCCTAAATGATCTAACAGCTTCTGGAGTGCTTTAAGGATGCCTGGAATTAAGACTACAGAAGAAATGGGCTTGTGGGCAGTATATGTCCTCTGCAGTGCTAGGAATTAGAATTGACTGAATAGCCTACTGTAAATTTTGTTAAGGCATTAGTAACAAAGTAAGGAGGATATGTTATATCATTTTTCAATCCAAACAACAGGATATCTGTGTCACTAAACAGAAAAGCAAAATTAGACAAAAAAGTGAGAAACTGTAAATGCCCCTACAAAATTATATATTGTACTTCCATGGTGAAGAAACTGAAAATTTTATGTAACCCTGTCAAAAATTGCAGGTTTACAAAAAAGTTGAAAAGTCCTAGCAAAACATAGCTAATTTTTTTAAATATATATATCCACACACAACCTTTTTAAGTGAGATAATAACAGAGCTTCATTCTTAGAGCCAATAAGCAACATCTGCTACTGTGTGAGTGCAGCTGTACTATTCAGTGGAGTTTGTCATCTTTGTATGACATTGCTCAAGGCACTGTTCATAGTGCCAATATTGATTTTACTAAACTTTTTTTGCCTAATTGTTTCCTCAAACATTCGTATCCAGTTGCGTCATTCCCCAAAAAACAAATCAAGAACCTACTGTGTAAGGTCTGTTGCACAAAATATTTCTATTGTCCCTCAGGCAGTACCATCCAGAATACACATTTTTAAAGGGTGGTATTCACTGCTTGTTTTCTATCTGGGTCCAAGAATAAACTTCCTAAGAGCACTGAATTTTAGATAGCTGTTCAGAAAAACGAGTACCAGAGCTAGCATTACGTGCAGTAGAATCAGTCTTTTTAAATGTTATAAGCCTCCCTCTTCACTGATAGAGCAAATATATCAAGCATATTCACTGTTAGACTAGACTAGCTTAGGTGAAAGTCATGCATTTATGAATTAAAGTGGTATCATTCAATGGTTTAATAGCCAGATGGCAGTCATTGCCCTAAACAACTGCCTTTAATTTCTGATGAACATATTTTGCCAATATTGTGGAATATAAAAATGTCTCATCATTATAAGACATACAATACTCATAAAGATTTTTCTTTCACACGTATAATAATACAAATCCTGCCTGGGGATGGAGTATTTCCTGTGTATGAAAATAATAGTACCAAATCTGTCTTCACTGTAACCATAGCAATGGTTGTCCTCACAATGCCTGTCTCACAGCATAGATATTTTACAGTGAAAAAAAAGGGTCATAAACCACAATGGCACCTGCAGGTAAGGAACATACATGATTGTAATACCACAGTCAGGAAGCTCTTTTTGTATCTGATGCTCCATTTTCTGAAATGCAGGTGGAAATCCCATCTCCATCAGCAGTCAAAAGAGCTATTTTTGCTCCCTTGGAAAGATACTTGTGATTTATCTATTGTTTTTGCTTATTCTACCATTGATATTTACATCATTAGCATAATCTTCCAAATTTGTATGTTACAGAAAATCAGCTAAATTATTCCAATAGTGACTACATTGCAGTATAAATTGTCTCTCTCTGAAACTCCTATTTCAGAGCATAATAGAATAACTGTTCTCATTACGTAAGGCACTTGCAGTTTAGACACCAGACTGTCGCTATGCATTATAACACTGCCTTGAATCACTCCTGAAAACCTTCATACAAAACATTCCGTTGTGCTCTCAAACTACGAGCTTCTATCCTGCAATTAGATCTTTGCCAGATCAGCTTTTATTAGCTAGACTTTATACATCAATGCAAGTGGTTTTTTTCTATGTGGGGCTAATTGAAGTTAGGAGTATTTGCTTCAAGGGCTTTGACAGGAATACACTCAGGACCCATGCTTGTCTCCCAGTTAAATTTACTGATTTCATTGTGGGTATCAAAACATTCAGGGATTCATCTAAACTCTTTTACATGTATGACAAGGAACTGATTTTACAGATGTTTTATACATTCTCTGTCCTCAGTTGTAGGCCATAGAGAAATCTGAAAGTCAGATAATCTAATCCTTTCACCATTATTCCAATGGAAAACTCCTTGAAAATTAGTCACTTCCCTTAGTGATTGAGTCTTTTTAAAATACTAATAATGAAACCAACACATAACAAATTAAACTAGTGATACCATTTGTATATACAGATGGAACACAGTCATTCTGATCTAATTATGAAATTATAGCATAAAAGACAAGTGCATAGTATTTTAGGAGACATAAATTCTTAAGAGTTTTTTATTTACATAACTAGGAGAATAGACAAAATTAAATAGACCAAACCTGTTATTAAAGCATATCACCTGTTATGAAAGCATATCAAAAGAAATATGTCCAAGCCAGAGATTTATATCCAGAGCCCTTTGCATTGAAACATATAGAACCATCTCTTCTCCATCACATCTAATCTTACTGCTATGCTCCATGTTGTAAGTTCATACTAATTTACAGTTCTAGTTTACATGAGTAGCTATGGAAGACAATGTAGTGTTTCAACACAGAAACGAGAAGAATGAAGAACCTTGCATACAACTTCCAAATGCTGCCTATAAAAATATGAAAACTATTTAATAAAAATTAGGTACATTAAGGAAAAAGCAGAGCACGTAAAAGAGTATATTGGTAGCTCCAGTAATGGCTGTGTTAAATGGGTAAATCACTCATTCTTCTAACATAAAAGAAAAAAATAATTCTTCTTTTGTAAGTCTCTAGCCATACCATCTCTTTAAACCTCTTTTATTAGCCTGTACAAATCTTTTATGTGTTTGCATGGAACAGCTCCAAGGAGAAAGTGTACATATTGATTCACAGCAGGTAGATGGTTTCTTTCTGAATCAGTGCCAATCCAATGCCGCACCTTAATAGCCAGGATACTGGGATATCCTTGAATGACTGACATTACAGTAAGAGCCTGACCACACAGTTTCAGTAAGAACACAGGTATTTTTTCAGAACAAAGAGCTGTCACTTGGTACCTGGCCAAATTCTACTGTGGGTAATTACTTTCTGCCTCCTTTTCCCCTGCAGTTCTAAAGACAGCATGAATGTGTGTGTGCTATCCCAGACTACTGTGCTTCCACTGCTCTATTTTTAGCAGCACAAAAAAAATGACTCGCTGTAAATGCTTTGAAATCCATTGAGCTGGGAGTTGCATGTATCTCATTTCACCACATATGGAGGTGGCTTTTGTCTAGTTCAGCAGACAAAATAGCTCAGATTTTAGGCCTTTTGGAGAGCAGCTCCAGCTGCACCACTAGCAGCTCGGTAAATGGCTTCATGGAAGTTGCTGGGAATCGCAACGCCCAGTCTTCAGGAACAAGGCATTACTTAGTATTTATTTAAGATTATACAACAGGAAGCATACAACTTTAACACACCTCTACATTATCCTCACTATGAACGAACGAATTCATACAGAGCAAGACATGAACCAAGTAGGGGCTTACATCTGCCTAAACCCCAGCCAAAACACGTACTCCCACTGAACTCAGGTCTGCAGCTGCTCATTAAAAAATGCTCTACTACTTAATAGCTCCCAGGGCAGTACAGAGCCGTCCTGTCTGTCCCCGTACCAGCAGCGGTACAAAAACTCAGCCTACAAACGCCTGTGCACACACCGAACCCAGGACCGCGCTCCCGCTATTCCATCCCCTCCCAGCGCTGCCCCCGCTCGGCAGCCGCTCCGTGAATGTCCGAGGAAGGTGCCGGGCGGTGCCGCACGGCCCTGCCCCGCCTCCATCGTGCGGGAGCCGGGCGGGCGCATTTGGGCGCTGCTCCGCGCACCGTCTCCCGGAGCAGAACCGGAACGGAAACACAGCTCCTCACCCCGCCTCGCCTCACCCGGCAGGGCCGGCACCGTCCCCGCCTCCTCCCTGCTCCCAGTGGCGGACGCGAGTGCCGTAGATGGGACCTCCCCGGCGTGTCTGGGTGCGTTCTACCTTTCCCCCCTCCTTTCCTCGCACTCCCCGTGTCGCGCTGCGCTCTCAGTGTAGGCGGCTGACACACCGTGCTCCGGGGTCGGGTCCTCTCCCCTGTGTCCGGGCGAGCGGCGGGCTGTGGTCGGAGCGTCCGGTGCAAGGGAGGCCTGAGCCTGGCCTTGGCTCACGGGGAAAACCGAAACCGAATGCGGTCTAAAATGACGTAGTTAGAAATTTGAGTGGAAAACTGCATAAACCACGTCTAGTTGTTGTTTTCTCTGTGTGTTGCTGGGGTGGCGGGTATTGTCAGGAGGACTGGGGCGTTAAAAGTAGCGCATATCTAAAAAACTTAGTGCGGGCACTACTGGTTTACGCTGCGAGAAAACTGTTTAAACCTAACAGAATAATAAGGAATGCGAAAGTTCCCGAGGGAATTCCCTGTTTTCCCCGAGTACCTCGCACAAGTCCTTCTATTAGAGGGCATAGGGCGATGAGGAAATAGGGAAGTGTGAAAGCTTTGGAGCACGCTCTGCAACTTTGAAAAATGCCGGATGGCAGCGGCTGGGAGCGCAGAGCCCTTCCTCCGCCGCCGCCCCGCCTGTTCAAACAAAGCAGAGCGGAGGAGGCACAAAGCGCCCCCAGCGCCGTTCGTCGCCAGCTCACCTCCTACTCTCCTGCCAGCGTGGGGTATTCCACATGAACTCATCTTGGGAAACAAGGATCGTTTTCCACATCAGCCGCACCCGCTGGGGTTATATCCTGGTTTTGTTGCCGGGAGGATGACTGTGAAACGTTCGAGATACAAAATGGCCAGCGGGGAGTTAACAGGACCCTTGTGCATCTTTGTGTGTGAAGTTTTAGTACGATGTTATTTCCTGCTCCTTGCGAGGGTGTGGGGAAAAAAAAAATCCTTGATTGCACATGCACGTGAACACACAGATTATTGGGGCAGTTTTATCTCTGAGTATGAACTTTTTTATTTTGTCTTAGAAGATAAATTGGTTTTTTTCTCCTCTTTGTAGAGAATCTACATTCAATGTAGGTCCTATTGCAGGGCCCGGGTAATCTAAATAAAAAGCCAACCCGCTCGGTTTTATGTTTCCATTGCTTTTTGCTTTTTCTTTAATTATTGCAGCTATGATAACTGTATCTGTGATGTTTGAAAAAGTCATCAGTTGGCCCCTTCATCTCCTCGAGTGAAGTGGATCTGGCTTAGATAAAAGCACATGGAATGCATTGGGCTTGCCCCAGTCTTGTGACATATCTGCTGTCAAAATATGGGCACGTGGTGCTTGGTTGCAAAGTTATAAACTGGTTTAGTTTATACTAAAAACCTACTTCATGTTGCTCTTACTCATTCGGCACACAGTATCCAGTGAATGTTATTGGCGATCACTGAGTGTGCAGTTGTTTTTCCTTTTATTTAAAGCATCATTCCTGGTCCAGTGGAATCATACAGAAGAACACATGTCATTTTTCTTTTGTTTCCCCCCCTTCCATAAAATTAGGAAGTAGGCCCACCACAATAATTTTTGGTCTTGATACTTGTCCAACAGAGAATGAGTTGATGTAATAAACTGTCTATGGACCATCAGTGGAAAATACTGGGTAGAAACCAATGTGTGCTGGATCTGGATCAGTGATTTGGCGATGGTCAAACGCCACTCTTCCAATGTTTTTGTGGACAGACTTGCGTACAGGTAAGGCAGTTTCAGCACTAAAAGTATGATCAGCATTTTTTATAATGAGCATGTGATTTAGCTTATATAAAGGAAGTTCACAAAAGTAAGTTATTTATATGTGTACTTTAAAGGCAGATTATTTTTAAAGTAACATATAATTGGTAATTTTGCATGTCTGAAATCTCAACTCTGTAGGAAATTACTCCCTAACACACACGCGCGCACACACACACACACACACACACACACACACACTCTCTCCCTCTTTTTTTAACTAGTTTTAAAAGACTAGATAAAAATCAACTGGTATAGTTAAAAAGTTTTTTTGAGATTTCTGAAAATGGCCAAAAGTTGTTAAATTCCTCTTTGCTTTAGAGTGAGTCATAAATAAAATTTCCTCAAGTCCTTTTGAAAGTCCCAGCTCTATGTATCTGGGAGATACTTTCATATGAAAGTGTTTTCTGTCTCCCCTTTCTTGACTGCATTATGGCATGAAAACAGTCTGTGTCTTTCTGTAGAATTCTCATCAATGTTTGATGTTAGATTGAAAATAAGTTAGCAATTAATATGCTTTTTCTCTGATAGAACATTCTCCAAAACACATTAGAGTGTAAGAGGAGTTCCTCTGCTTATCCTCTGATGGACTCTTTTAGTGGGCAGTCCATGGGTTTAACCAAATCTGTTTCTTATTTCCTTTCTGAGGAAAGTCAAGTAGATCTGTAGAGTTATTTTTCATTTAAACAGCACTTGGGGGGCAGGGAAGGCTTGTAGATGAGTTTATCTCGTCTGCTTCATTTATGAACACAGTATATGACGTTGCTTGTAACTTCCAGAAGGTGTAACAAAAGTTACACCTTTAAATGCTTTAAAAAAATCTTCCTCAGGTGCTAGAATCTTCAGTGTGTTAGGCTTTGAAGTTGTGTTAGCTTTTGCTTTCCAGTACAGTGTAAAAAAAACTATGCAGTTTAGTCATCAAACTCCTTTTAAGGACTAAGATTTGTCTTCAGGTTGCTCATCTCACCTTTCTCCATGTATGTAATGGAGATCAGAGGAGGCTAGATAGAATTTCCAGAGTTGGTGGCAGTGGAAATTGAACATAGCACCATATTGATTTTGTTAATCACAAGGCTGGGGGTTTTTCTAGGGTGGAGTTTTTATTTCAGTTTTCAGTATGGTGACACATGAATGTTACATGAAGAAAAAGGCAGTCTGTGGCTTATCTGTACCTTCAGAGTTAACCAATTTGCATATTGAAGGTTGGAATTTTTTCTTTGAGCGGTTCTTCAACCTTTTTGAGCATGAAGGGTGTGTATGGAGAATCCTTAAAACCCAAATAATTCATTCAGATTGGAATCACTTTAAGTTATGCCAATTAGTAAGAAAATCCACATGCTCCTGTATTTACAGCTAATTAGCGTTTTAAAATATTACATGTTATCTTGTGAATATTTCTTTAATTTTTACTTCATTCAAGACCAAGTGCATGCCTGATAGCAGTGGTTTTATATGTGGGGGGTTTTTTTTGTTCTTTCATCTACTATATATGATTGCATTACCTTTTAGCTTCCTGAAAAATGCCTTGAAACTTTGAGGGGAGAAAAGGTGGTGATGAACAGAGGGGTGGAGGGTTGCTGGGAAGAGGTCAGAGCTTTCAGAAATACTTGAAGTACCCACTCATCAGGAAGCTGATGACTTTTGTTTCACTTCCTATGGAATTTACAGATTAGTGTTAATGCAATTAACTTTAAAAAGAACTCACATGTCTTTCTGATTAGTATGATCTACCAAGTATCTTTAGTTCTATAATGAATAGCTGGGAGAGTCCCTCGAACACAGGAGGTCTGTGAAAAGTAAGTTGGAGTTTTAGTCGAAAGCAAAATACTTCAGTTAGGAGAGTTAACTGTGAACTTGTGCAGCAGATCCCTGATTTATTGACTTCTAATTCTCTCCCACAGAACTGCTTTTGTAAAAATGCACCTAGTTAAGAATGAACACCAGAGAAGTGCTGCGATAGACATGGGCTTCATGTCGTGTTGGTTTCCTGTTTATAACCAGTAGGCACAGCTACAGAGTGATGACCGCGTGCCAAGTGCCAGCTGCCCTTATTCACCAGATTCAAGAAGAACTGGATAAAGAAGAAGAAGAGATGATGGTTTTCCTGTGCCGAGACCTTGCTCCTGACTTGGCCACTGCCGATCTTAGAGAGATCTTGGCAGCTTTGAATGAGAGGGAGAAACTGTCTCCTGTTGGCTTGTCTGAGCTGCTGTACAGAGTTAAAAGGTTTGACTTACTGAGGAGGATCTTGAACACTGAGAAAGCAACAGTGGAAGCTTACCTTACCAGGAGTCTCAGACTTATCCCTGATTACAGGTAATATATCTATTTCAGATTTCAAAGCTATGCCATCTTGTTCAAAGTAAATGGGGGGTTTTCCTTAATTTCAGAGAGGGATGGGAGGGTTGGTTTTTTATTTATTTTTTAAAAAGTTATTAAAGGTAAAAGAAAAGCAGAAAAGAGCATTATATCTAGAATTACAGTGAAAAGAATATGTCAAGTTTAGTCCCTAAATTAAACCTTAGTACTTTCTCACAAGTCGTGACATTAGAAGCATCTATATTTCAGGAGTTTGTATGTTAGTCAGTATAACCAATGATGTTTGTAAATTGTAGATTAGCAGATAAAAATGGCACTTTAAAGGGACATCATTAGTTAGAGGTATTTTCTAGTTTGCTTTGGGCACATAGCCATGTGGTATAGCTTTTATCAAGGGACCTCTCATACTACTTTTTTACTCAATTAGTTTCGAGAGGCTAAAATTAAGAAGTTCCAGTTATTTTCTTTGAGAGACTTCAGAAAGAAATATATATACTCACAAGGAAGATTTTCCTATGTTAACTTCTCACTAAAATAAAAACCCTGTACCTAATAGGTAAAAAAGTTAAAGATGTGTTCTGTTGTCTCATTCTCTATTGAAACATTAAGAAGACTTTTGTTTTCCTAACAGTGGCTATTACAGTGTGAATAAGGCAGGTGCTAATTAGAAAGAGTAGGATCTTGTAGCATGGTAGGGTTTTTTCCTGTTTATTAATTGGAAATGATACATTAAGACTGGAACATGGGAGAAGCTCAGTAGTTGGGCAAGAGAGGGATCTTGCTTCAAGCTAATTGTTTAGAAATATCTCAACTTTTTTTTCAGGGTGCTAATGGTGGAAATAAATGAGAATCTGGAAAAAGAGGAAGTGGGTTCTCTTCTTTTTCTACTTAGAGATTATACACCTCGGATGAAAATGGCAAAAGATAAGGTATGTTTTTCTGGTATTCTCCCCTGGAGCACTGAGAGATCAAAGTAAAAAGGCAAGTAACTAGAGATCAAAGGAGAGGAGACAGTGCTGCAAGGGGTAGTGAGGCAGGAGTAGAAAGGCATCAGAAAGTGGACACAGAGTAGTGGCTTCTATTTCATTTTGTTGTTTTTTAATTCAAGGAAGGAGGCATGAAAAACAGGGAACAGTGCTTGCTGTATCTAGATGCATAGTGTTAGAATGAACCTCACAGGCAGAAGGCATTTTTAAAAAGTCTTCAGTAATACTGACCTGAAAGCTCATATAAGAAGGATCTGAAACCAATAATCATTTGAAATTTATCTTGAATTGCAAAGTCACTTTTTATGTTTGTGCTCTGCTTCACTTACAAAGGAACAGATTTATTTTCATTATGCCTTTCTCTGTACCTTTTTATTCTGAATATTTAAGTCCTCTGAGAAAGCAGAAAGTCACTAGAGAGGATTCAGAAAACTTGACCACTGTGCGTAGAAGACTGAAGATTTCTGTCTTCTTCAAAACATTTTCTTTAATCAAGGAAGGAGAGGCCCTACAAATTTCACAAAGCTTTCTTGCCTCTTGCTTAGTGGCATGTGAGATGACTTCCCAGTGACTGGCTTTGTAGCAAAAATGAAATGCAAAACTGTTTCCTCAAAAACTTAAGATTAATTTTTAAGAATATCACTTTCTAGTTTCTATTACTTCTGTGATAATACCAAGAATTCTTATACCTTTCAGAATATTTTCTTAGTGTGTCAGAAGGTAACATCCCTACATTGCTTATACAGCCTTTATGACCTCCCCACGGTATTTTCTGGGTTGTTTTGTTGCTTCTGATAGAGAACAAATTACTGATAATGTTTGGTTTTCGTTTGCTGTTCTAGAGTTTTCTAGCTCTTGTAATTGACCTGGAGAAACTAAATTTGGTGGCTCCTAATCAACTGGATTTGATAGAAAACTGTTTTCAAAGTATTCACAGGATAGATTTGATTAGGAAGATTCAGAACTACAAACACAAAGGTAAGATGCTATTTTTGCAGTGGTTACTCTTGATAGCAAGAATGAGATGTGCTTTTACTGAAAATAAAACTATGAGTTACAAATCAGAGTATTTACATGCTTCACAGATTTAGGTTTTTAAAACAGTTGATATATCATGGTGTATTTGTGTGTTTCTGTTAAATGTGCAGCTTTAATGTCCTCCGTTCATTCTCCGCCAGTGTATGTAAATGCACGCCCAGCATCTCTCACTAATCTCAATCTGATTGATCCTCCTTACAATTCAGGGGTAAGTACACAAGAAATCAGACAAATCCTTTATTTCTGAATATTCCCAGATGTTAAAAGGAGATTCATCTTTCAGAGCCTGAGGAATGAGAGATTGCTAGTGACTAAAATACTACTTGGTTTATTTATGTTATTCCCACTATTTGCTGGGTTTAGGGTCTGAGTTAAATCTTCTGAGTGAGAAAGGTTCTCTTTAAAGAAGTCCTGTGAATTTTTTCCTATTAGTTGAACATATAAAATCTGTATCTTGAAAGGTTTTTTCTACTACACTCTAGTGGAGTTTTGCTTTGAATGATCTTTACAAAACATATAATTCTTCTTTGTACCGCTGGACCTTGCAGGGAAAGTAGCTTTTAATTTTTGAATCTGGAGATTAGAGCTTTTTAAGAAGAATTTTTCAGATTTTTTTTTTGTGGTTTGTTTTAATCTCATTTTAAGAAAATATGTCGGTATGTGAAAAATCATCAAATCCTATTGCATGCAGTATTCTTTATATTTGGGTTAGGTCTGATATTGTATTAGTATGACCTTTCTTAAAGTCTTTAGTCTTGCTAAATTGGATGAGATTAATTCTGTCATGTGTTCAGTAAATGTTCCCTGCTGCTCTATGGGAAACAAAATTCACATCTGTGGAGATTTTTTTTTGTTGTTGTTTTACTAGATTAGGGAATAAACTTTTCTTTGCTGATCATGACAAGCTGGTAATTTTTTTTCTGAGGAACAATAATTTTGGAGTTTTTTGTTTGTCTGTGCTTTTGGTGGTTTTTTTCATTAGTTATTTTGTAGTCCTAATTAGGTGATATATATGAATCTAAAACATGTAATCCTTTTATTGAGGAAGAAATACTATTGTGTTTTATTTTGGAACACATGATTTTTCTTGAAATAGAAAGGGAAAATTATGCCCTTTTTCTTCATTTTAGATGCAGAATGGGAGCAGAGAAAAATTACAAAATGGACTAAATCATACCCTGGGTAAGAGCATTTTTATCTGAGTTTTGGTAATCTAAAAGAGCCAAATGATTAATTTCTTTGTATCAAAAGGACTGTTGTTTGATGGTTGTGTGTATGGCTAATCCAGCTGATAACACCAGGAGCAGAGAGTATTTGGTACCTCTGAAAACTGAGCCTGGCCTCATTATTTGGTCTTTAGCTGCTTTGCTTGTGCTGCCACATTTTAAAACTTTATTAAAAATTGTTGTGGGTTTCCACTGTCACAGGTTTTTAACAGAATAAATACTTTATTAATAAAACCACAGATAAGATTGACTGTCCTGAGTACCAGGTTCTTTCAATGTATATTGTGTTTTCTCTGGAAATACTGCTCAAATATGGTGATTTTTAAGAGTAGTTGGCTGAATTCTCTCAGTGTAGGAGAGATTCCTTTTTTATTCTAGTCACAAGCAATGTAAAATGCAATCGAAATGACAATTTAGAGGAGAAGAGTTTAAGGCTTTTTAAACTTCAGTGGCATACATAGAATCTAAGAGGTCCAGATAAATGAGATACATTCCTCTTTATATCTGATCTGGTGTCAAAGAAATCTCACTGGTACTTATGTACTGAGATTGCTTCTGTATGTTTTAACTGCAGCAGAACCAGTTCCCATGTCCATTCAGGAATCGGGATCAGCGTCACATAAGGTATGTGCTTGTCCATATGTATGCATGTGAATATAATAACCTCTGTGAGAACTTACCTTGGTTTTCTGGGTGTTTCATTTTGGGATTTCCTTTAATTGTGTGCAGACAGAGTAATGTGTACACCCTCAGCCATGAACAGGTTCTGTGAATTGCTTTTGCAGAATATATTTTTAAATTAAAAAATTTACTGCTACTCTGGAAGCAGCAGTGTGCAAAATCCATGTATGTGTGGTGTGTACACAGAACTTGTACATTTATTAGTGGAGGCCAAGTTAAAACCTGTTGGAGGTCAGACCTCTCTTGCCATCTTCATTAGAAGTCACAGGGCTTCTTTACATGCAGCAAACTTTGTTTATGCCTCCCTCCTCACCCCTTGCTGCTCCAGGCAGGAGACAGACATGCTTTAGGTATTAATGATAAGAATGGACTGTAGGACAGGAACAACAGAGTTACCTGTACCAACTGAATTTTAATCTCTTTAGAGGAGAGAGTGATTGTGATAGTCATTACAGATTATTTAGGAGCAACACAGTTGTTCCACTAAATAAGGGAACAAATGTTCTGATGAGCAGTGCTTGCTTGCACACCTGAAGAACACAAAAGTTCTCTACTGTGTTGGCAGTATGAAGCTTGTAGCTCCCAACATCTCAATAGCAGAGACAGTATTATAATACTTATATAAGTATTTATTTTTTACTTCAATAAATACTTAATTTGGAAGTACTATAGGAAGATCATTGCTTTCATAGTGCAGGGCTTTAAAAAGCCCCTTCACCCCACACGACAAAAAAACCCAAAACCTGACAGACTTGAAGATCTGTTTAGAGGTAAGGTTCATTTCAGACTTGCTTCTGTCATTTTTGATATAGTTTTAGTCTCTGAGGATCTTTATGGTAGCAGGATTGCATAACGCAAGGAAACAAAAATTAAGCCTGTACTAGAAATAGGGGAAAAGAATCATTAGTCCATTTCTCCTGATTTTTTTGTTGTGTAAATAAGATATGCTACATCCCAGTAGAGAGATTTCTGCTAGCTACTCTATGAAAAACAACTAAATGTAATTTAATAGATCTTAGGTGCTAAAATCTGAGAAAACAGTAAGGTCTGTAAGTTGAGAGAGTGACGTTAACTTTCTAATTGTCCTCTTATGTTCCTCAGGGGACTGATGAACCTTACAGAATGCAAAGTCAACCTTTAGGAATATGCCTGATCATAGACTGTATTGGCAATGATGCAGGTAAGTCTCTGGAATTTGAAGTTCCTTAACTTGTTGGTAATTAGAACAATTTAATATAAAGAGTATGTTGTACATTTACCAGCCAGACTAGGGTAATGTTGTCCTAGTCAGCCAGTCTACCAATTCTAGTAAGTCTTCTAAAGCAGGGAGTTGGAAGGCCCAACCTGAGCTTAAAACCAACTGTCCCCCCAACTATTGCAAGAAGTGTTAGTTTGGTTTTTTGGTGCAGAAAGAACTTGAAGAGGATAGACTGAATTTTGGGAGGGAGAAAAAGGATGTTCAGAGACCTACCTGCTACAGTCATACAGCAGGTTATTGGCAGAGATGGTAAAGATAGTGTTTCCCACCAGTTAAGACAACCAAAACCATTGGATTTGAAGTGCAGTCATATAGGACACCAAAGATTTTGAGTAGTTATGTGTTCCTTTATTAATAATGTGGGTTTCTGTCATACCTTGCACAGTTTAACTGAAACTGTCACCATGCTGTCTCTGTAGTTACTGCCATGGTTAAAATGTGGGGGTTTTCTGATGGCCCGATCTAATCCAAGAATTAGATTTTTGCAGAAGCAGAAAAATCCCTCAGTCTCTAACCACTGTAGCACTTGAGGCTAAAAATAAAAGTGAAGAGAGTAATTGCAGTCAGTTCTGTAGTAGGCAGGAGACATAAGGGAAGGAGAGGGTTTGTGGACATATCTTTTGTTTTTATCATATGTAATGGTCCAGCAGATGGACCAACTTAGAATTATTCATGTAGTTGTTAAAGAGCAGTGGATGTGGAAAGTAAAATGGATGTGTTTGCTTGACAATAATATGTTGGATAAATTATAGAAACCAAGACATTTTGCCATTAGGATAACAGGAACTAAAACTGATTCACAATCCTGCCGTGCATGGATAAGAGGGAAAAGGAAGGCACTTAACTCAGTTACATGCAACTGGGAAGCATCTTTGAGATTTTGGTCTGTACTACCAAGTTCATCGCTGATCTCTGGAGAAGAAAAAAAAAAACCAAAACCAACCAGACAAAATCCCCCCCAAAAAAAACCTAGAAGAACAAGGATGCAGTTGCTGCATATAGAAATTATATTGTTCATTGTAAAGTACTAAAGCACTTCCTCACTTCTACTCTCAAAAAAACAAAACAAAACAAAAAAACCCTGAATTTGTCTCAAGAGGAAAATAGACTATCTTCCAAGGACTGAAGGACTGGGGCTGGTGGCTCTTGGAATCAAACATTCTGCTCTGTCCTGCTGCCTGCTTTTTTGCTTTCCTGTTCTTCTCTTTCTTTGAGAAAGCAAATTACCCTTTGGATGCAAGAAACTTACTATGCAGCCTTAATCTGGAAGGTAGCTTGATAGTCTGCTCCAGTACCAAAATAATTGCTACTTGGAGCTGTGTTTCTTCAGTGTGTAGAGCTAAAGAGAACGTGAGGTGTGAAAATAGCCTTGTTTAAGAAAAAATAAATCTTTAAATTTCATTGTCTCCAATGGCATCTCAGCATGTTCAGACCCAATTTACTGAACTATGTTTTATTGGCCTGTGTTTTACTATGCCAGGATTGAGGTTTTTCAATGAAACACATAAGTATAAAAGCAGATAAGGCATGTATGCTGGAGAAAACAGGAAAGAGAGAAAGAACTGCTATGTCAGATACATAAATTTAGATCTACTCTTCCTTAGAAGGCATGGATCTTTTGCACAGGCAATATACTGTGCAGACATCTTTGTCACAGGAATTGCTACTAGATACAAAGGTCGGCACAAAAGCAAAACAAATCATTGTATGTGCTCTTCATGAGCTCATATGGTCATTCAAGTACTTGTACAAGAACAGAAAGTGTAAATGTGACAATGGGAGTCTGCTGACTGGAAAGGAACAATAATGAGTGACATGTTTAGCACCTGGCAGGTCAGATACACCTACAAATCATGGCTCTGCTGCTGTTGTGCCAAAATCACCCAGAGTAAGTCTTAGTGTGCCTCAATCTCCATGCGTGTCTCCACTAAATGCAGAAGCAATTAAACCATATCTGTCTCAGATGTTGAAAGTCACCAGTGCTTTATCAGCATTTTAAAGGGATAGAAAGCAAGACTTTCACTGAAATCCATTACTGTGCCAGTGAGATTCAGGAGAGACAGGACATATGGCATTGCTTAATTTTTTGATGTTTAAGGCATCAAAAAGAGTTTGTTAGAAAGGCATTCACCATGTAGAGAGTTGTTATGCCACACTATTCTGAAGTCTGAATACACTAAAGAAACATAAGAGGGCAGGGAGAGCATTAGGAATTGTATCTGTGGCATCCATTAGAATCTGTAGCCATCCCAAGATTTAATCTCAGGAAGGTGAACCAGTAGTAGATACTGCAGGATTTACCTTTCATTTTCAAATTAAAGAAGTCTGGACAGTTTTTGAATTATTTTACAAAATTTAATCAAACCAACAGAATTGGAATGAAACTATAGTTTTTGTTTATTACCTCACTATAGTAAAAGGTTTGTATCTGCCCTGTATTTTGCTGAGGAAAGTTATGAGTTCTGCCCCCTGTTTTCACTATGGGCTTTTTGATGAGAACAGTGCGTAGTACAGCTGCTTGGCTGCCAGTTACCTCTGAAATAGGCTCTGCTAGTTAGGGATTGTTAAACTTTTGAAGTCAAAGAACAGTCAGGCTTCCTATGTGTAAGGTATTTTACATAAACATGGCACCTGATACTTGCTTTCATATCAGAAACTGTGCATGGGCAGTGCATGTATGTGTTTTATAGTAAAGATAGAATGGTACAGGTATGAGTTGTAGTAGTAGCTTTTGGTTCTCTGAACACTTAATACCTGTGGTTTTAAGCACCATGTATCTGGTTTCATTCCCATATTAATAATAATCCAAAGTAGTTATTTAGAACTTAGGACATTTTCCTGCAGCACAGGTTAACACAAATACAATATAGTTAAATCTCAGGATTTGGCTATCTACAGTTTTAATTTCTAACTCATTTCAAAGGGTTCTTTGTTCAGCTTTCTTTTTTCCCTGAAAATGCCATTCTGTCATTGTTAAGACTCTGGTGTACATTCTTCACCTGGGACTCATCACTTAAAGTCTGTTTTATATAATAGGAAGCGTAAATGACTGCAGAAGGTTCATTTTTGACTGATGTAAGGGAGTCTCTGTGTTTTTTATGCAGTTCTGTATATCTATAATAACCATTCAGAGTAATTTTGACCAGTTAAAAGGGGAAACAGGCTTCCCATGCTATTCACATAATTCCTTACCATTTCAACTATGTGAAACATTTTCTAATGTTTTTTCTTGCGTGATATTTTAAGTCGTAGGAACTTGGGACACTGACTCTAAATGAAGTATGCAAGGGTCTGTGGAATTTGGAACAGATCACATGCCAAATAATACTGTCTTTTGTTATTATGAAGTAGATAACTCACGTTAAAGACAACATGCATATAGCACTATAAGTACGTAATGTACTGTGATCAACACTGCATACTCCTGATTTTTTAATTATTGTGAAAAACTACTTAGTTCCAATAGCAAAACACTGTAAATATGGTAATTCGGGATAGTTGAGATTGAGCCTCAGTGTGCTGTGATTTAATTACATGTTGCTTCTTTCAGATGTGTTGGAAGAGACCTTCAGAGGCTTGGACTATGACGTTCATTGTCACAGATATTTAAATATTGCCACCATGAAGCAAACATTGCTTGACGTTGCAAGTTTGCAGCAGCACAGAAATTATGACAGCTTCATTTGCATATTGGTCAGCCGTGGAAGTCATCAGGGCATCTTCTGTACAGACATTACCTGTTCTGGATTCCCTCTGGAACAAATAAAAAATTACTTCACGCCAGACTCATGTCCTGGACTCCTAGGAAAACCAAAGCTTTTTTTTATTCAGAGCTACATTGTGCCAGAAAATGAGCAAGAATGTACTAGTCTGTTGGAAGTAGATGGGAATGATAAAAATATCAATAATAAAGTCATTATCCCCCGAGGAGCAGACATCTTTTGGAGCCATTGTAAGGTGGATGTGTCTTCACTAGAAAAATCCTCAACTTCATGCTCATATTATCTGCATTGTCTGGCTGAGCTACTCCGCGATCCTTACATAAGGTAAATTAGAAAAAGAGGAAAAAAATAACCCATTTCCTATGACAGCCTGTTATCATTGAGAAAGAGAAACCTTAAGTTCCATCCCATCTGGTCCTGTAAAGTGACTTCATGCAGCGTCATAAGCTAAAAGACGAGTAGCCTGAGGTAGGAATGAAGTTTCTGGTTGTGAAGAGTAAAATTAAAGTGTGTTACGGCACTGGGGTTTACAGAGTAAGAAGGGAGTCCTGGATAATGTATGTCAGCACTTTAGAGAGGATGCAAAATCTTCCTTCTCCAAGATAAAAAGACACATTCCAGGCTTCTGTTAAATTGAGGATTGCCATGTACCATTAAGGAGAGCTCTGCTTGCAAATATAAGACAATCAGTGCCTAAGTTCAGGAAAAAGGCTGTAGAGAGGGAAGGATTTTCTGCTTTTTGTAGATTTAATTTATTCTTCACTCAGCCACTAGGTTGCCAGTATTCTTGAATTTAAACTGTCAGAAAACTTTTCTCTGTTTAAAGAGATCAAAAGGAATCTGAGCAAAAGTCACATATATATATTTGGATATATAAGAACAACAAAGATTTTCTCTATACAAATGATCTATCAGGGAGCTAACAGCTGTTTTTCAAGGTAGTTGCAGCATTAACTTTTAGTACCTTTTTAAAAATGCCAAAACCTTGTCTTGAAATCACAGATCATCCTATCAGCATAATTAATATCACAACAGTGATTTGGGTTGTAAGTTTGTCTCAAAATGCATCTTCAGCCTTGTGTTTTAGAGGTCTAGCCTCTGCAGTAAAGACTGAAATTTGGAACTTTCTCCTTGCTGAGTCTAAAGTTGTCTTCTCTCTTGTGGATTCTTAGATGGTGTCTTGCTTCATTCTCTAATGGAATGCTTTTACTTTTGTTGCTGCAGGAAACTCCCTATATCAGATATCCATACGGAACTGAATGGAAGAGTTTATAAATGGAATGAGACCGCTGACCCATGCCAACAATACTCACTTCTGCTCCAACACACACTGACGAAGGAACTTTTTCTTTTTCCTACTTAACTGCTCTTGGAAAGGACATATCTGAAGTTTCTAACAAGAAGTATTTAATATGATCCGAACAGTTTCACACATACTTTTACATTATGCATTTTATTTCATGTATATCTAAAGTGCCTTTTGCTTCCAAACCCAAGAATTTGGAAGCATTTTGGTGCATTAAGACAGAGTGGGAAGAGCTATAAACTGTATAGCTGTTGGGTTTTCCAACAAAGCTAAAGTGGCTTTATTGTTTTATTGGTGGTTTTTTTAGCATACCTGTTAGCAGTTAATGCTTAAACAAATACAAGCCAGACCAAACCACCAAAATGCTCTGGGTGCTTTCCCCTGCACGGCAAATGTGTCAGGAAAGAATTCCTACATAGTAATGCTAGTTCTTCATTAACAAGTTGTGGCTTGCATGCCTCCACAGGCTACCAAAACAGGAGGGGGAGAGAGGTGGTCTTTCTAATAATCTGGATTCCATTTGCTTGCTGCCTTAGAGGTTGTGTCATCAGTACTGTCCACAGCACACAAGGGCTCTATGTTATTAAATGAGACAGTCTGCCATGTTTTGGACTAGGTAAGTTTTCCACTGATGCAAAAATGAGTCTACATGTGCCAGGACATTACAGTAATCTACCACACAGTTAAAAAAATGGGGGATTTTGGCAGATGTTTTGTGGAAGCTGAAACATGATTCACACTCATTACAACCATAGTTGTAAAAGGGCAGTTAAAAATATTTGAACCTAAGCGTAGCATGTAGCACAGTTCTTAAGCCATGGGCTCTTATGACTGGATTAAATTAAACACCCCATCCTCACTCGTTTTGCTTATGAAAAAGAATATGCCTTTATTAATGGATTTTTTTCCCAAGTTTTTTCCATAAATATGAAAACTTTTCTCCAGTGTAGTAAGTGCCTAACATGAAAAGTTCAGTTAATCTGTTTGTTGTATAACAGTATAACCTGGATGGGTTGTCTCTCCTAAAGTTGTCCACTTGCAAACTTTTGATATTCCTAATAGAGTCTGCTATCCAGGGAAAAAATTCAAGGCCTTGGCATGCCTTGTTTGGTTTCTGGTGTAGTTTTTTAATGGGGAAAGAGAAGGATTAAAATGACAGATTTGGAATCTTAAAGTTACTTTCTATGAGGGCTGGTAAATTAAGCAAATGGTGAAACAAATGTTTTCTGTGGTTGTAGAAATCAGATGTCATTTTAAGTCATATATATCTAAGTGATGTTAACAAGAGTGATCTCTTTCACAAACTTCACTTTCCGATTTCCCTCACTAGCTTTTGCGTGTGATGAGCACTTCTGCTACCTTATAGAGAACCAAAAGCAGGGAGAATGGAACCAAGAGGAGGCAGATGAGGAAAACAAATATGGAAAATGTAAGCAGGAACAAGAAGGAGAATGGTAGGGAGCATCAAGAGAAGAACAGGTAGGGAAAAGATGATTTGTAGGAGAAATACAGTGTCAGTATTCGTAGGAGAAGAAAACAGGAAAAAGGAAGTAAGAATAATAGTGGCTATCCTTACAGGCTCTGATGATGTGGTGGGTTGGTTGATGTTTTGTGGGTTGGTTGTTTTGGGGGTTTTTGAGTGATGCTAAATACAGCTATTTATTTAAAATATTAGCAATAGAATATATTCTTCAGAAAATGTTCTTACACTTTTGTGACAATTTAAGTTTGGTTTGAGGGTCAAGAAATGTACATATTCTTTGCCTTACTGCATGACACAATAAGTCCATGCCCCCTTCGTGAAGAAATGAAAATTAGAGGGTCCTGTAATTAACCCTTACAGTGGACAAAGAAGGGAGTCTCTTTGTGTCTGACTGCTTGGATTGGAAGTGATTACAACCCCCTGAAAAGTTGTGGGGACAGCTATGTATTGCACAGCATTCGTGGATATCAGATACTGATTTTCTACACTGATGTTTTGTCCCTCAGTAGGTTCTTTAACCATAGCAGTACTCAATCTGTAATCATTCATTTAAGCAATATTTAATGCCTTTACACCTCTTTCAGGAGTGATATATTGGTAGGCTGATTCCCTATACCTAGTGCATAGTGAAAAGTTGAACTGAAGTCAGTATTTATGCAGGAATTTTGTGATGCTAGTTGTGTGTCACTTCTCCCATAGCTTATAGAATCATAGAATGTGCTGAATTGGAAGAGACCTATCAGGATCATTGTCCAACTCCTGGCCCTGCGCAGGATAGCCCAAAGAATCATGCCACGTGATTCCTGAACTGTCAGGCCTGGGGCTGTGACCACTTCCCTGGGGAGGAGCCTGTTCCAGTGCTCAACCACTTTCTGGATGAAAAACCTTTTCCCAATACCTAACCTAAACCTCCCATGATTCAGCTTCATGCTGTTTCCTTGAGTCCTGTCACTGGTCACCACAGAGAAGAGATCAGTGCCTGTCCCTCTTCTTCCCCTCACAAGAAAGTTGTAACTGCAATGAGGTCTCCCCTCAGTCTCCACTTTTCCATGCTGAGCAGACCAGGTGACCTCAGCTGCTCCTCATAACCCTCCACACCTGTCTGTTTTTGCCATACTGTGCACCAAAATTTGAATCTAGAAATGGATGCAGGGCGTAGGCTGCATCAAGTTGTACCTGTATTGCAGAGTAATTAAATGATTTCAGGTTAAATGATTCAGTAGCCAAGAAGGGAAGAGAATGACTTCTGGAGCCATCATGACTTCAGGGTGCTAGCACAGGAACATAAAAAGTGACATGCTGGTGAAGTTTCATGGTCTTGGACTGCCAAAATGTCTAGTTTTCAGAAACTGCTGTTTAACAAGGTAAAACAAGTCACTCTGCTCCTGCATTGTCATTGCTTGGAATATGGCTGTCAGATTCACTGCTCCATGGCACTTAATTTCGGTTTTGGTTTCTGGTAACTGGAATAGAAATTTCTTGTAGTTCTGTATGTGCTATATATATGGAAGAGGGAAAAGAGAATTGACAGGATATAAATGATGCCTTTTGATGGCTCAGAAGGTGTACTCATGAGGCAGGAGTTTCTGTGGTGTGTTGTACCAGACTTAATGTCTATGATTTTTCTCAGCCACTTACGTTGACATGGCTGAGCCATAAATGAAGTTTACTTTGCACTGTTACATACTTGTGTATTACGATGTTTGCCAGCTCATTATCCAAAAAAGAAGTTAAGTTCAAGAGGAAGTTATGGTGGTAGGACATGATAGCAGTTGTAGATGGAGCATGTTGTACGTCTGATCTCCCCTTTCAACTGCATAAGGGGTGACTTCTGTTACAGATACCTTTTGAGATACAGATACCTTACAGAGAAGCCTTTTGAGAGCTTTTGTGAATTCTTTTCTGCTGTCTGGAGTTTTAAGTTTTTGACATGCTAGATGATGTTGCTGAGAAGAGGCTGCTATCTATATGGATGTTCTAACTACGGTCCATTTAAAATAAATCTCCTATACTGAATTATTTAACAGTTTTTCTGTGGCTGTTTTGAAGAATGTCTATTTTTCAGCTTCTGTGTTAGAATCAAGAAGACATTGCACGCCAATCCAAATGGTGGATTTCAAGCTGATTTTCTGAATAAAATTTTTGGATGCAGTCAGACTGACTGTCTCTATCTCTCTTTAGAACACAGAGTAATTCCAAAATTCTTGGTTGATTTATCTTGTAGACCTCTACAGCTTGGTAAATTTGGCTGTGGAGTTCTCCAGCTCTGTTAAAATGAGCTGACTGAACAAAGGACACCAAGCCTTAAAGTTTCAACAGGTAGCTCGGCTGTTGTTGGTGTGTTAAACAGCATGAGCAAGGAGACGCTTCCCATCCTGTCTCCACTGACTTGAGGGTATGGGGGGATACACACTGCTGAAGGCCCTGGGGAGCCTGCTTTGAGCAGAGGCTGCTCACCTTCCTCCACTCCTTCCTGCAGGGAGGAGTGATGCACAGACCTGCACACAAATGGCAGTGCCGCCCTCTCCCACTACATTGCTCTTCAAGCTTCCTTTTACCAAAAAAAGAGAACGTGACTTGATCATTGCTAAGCAAGGATTCTTTATTAGCAGCACTGGGGCTGCACTGAGGATTTTCCTTCCGTAAGTACTACTGATATTTAATTAATTACAGATCGCTTATATTTTCCATTTCTCGGAAATATTTTGCATAAACACCTATTCCTGTATTTGTTTTGCTTATTACAATTTATGGTGTTTTGCTGCCATCTTCTGTCCTTTTGCAACAAACACAGTCCCTGTGGTTATCATATTACCTCCCCCGCTGGTTGTTTCATAGTCTTCCTCACGTGTTGGCACATGCTCAAGGTCCGTTGTCTCGTTTCCAAACCTCCAGGCTGGTTCCTGCTGGTGTTATGTTCTTGTCGTTTTGGATGGCCAGCTTCACAGCCTTGAAGGCTAGGGTCTGATTGGTTACTCCTTTTAAGCCATACATAAAAGATACATGCATCCTATCTACTTACAAAACTATGTGTCTGATCTAAAGATTCTCAGGCAAGTTTCTCAGGCAAGCTAAGCAACAATATTTAACAGCCCCTTTTAACAGTGTTAACAGCCCCTTTCATTATAATGGCAGATAATGACAGGACAAGGGGCAATGGTTTTAAACTGAGAGAGGACAGTTTAGATTAAATGTTAGGAAGAAATTCTTACTCAGAGGATGGTGAAGCACTGGAACAAATTCTAAAAGAGTAAAGTGTTTGATATGTGTTAAATTATGTCATTTGTGTCTCCTAGGGGAGGAGGGGTAAAAGGATGAATAACCACTGAGTTTTTCAGTTGAATCGTTCCTGAACAGTTTTAAGAATTTCTTTTTACTTAGCCTTTAGCTGTAATAAAGACCTAAAACTAAACTAAATCATCATTCTGTATAATATAATGCAAAATTCCATAATGAGGCAACTCAGTGCATACTTCTTACTTTGTTCTGTTAATTCTATTTATCTCTTATATATGGAACTCTTAATAGTCAAAACTGTAACTGGAAAATAATGATGTGAGGAAGGTTTTGAAAGATCTGAAACTGGGAAAGGGCAGATTCTTCATATTTTCAAGTGTCATTTTCAAGTGCTCTCACTTACAATGACATTTTTACAATGTACATTCTATTTTCTGAAACTTGTGTAGTAGAATTCAGAAACTCTGTATTTGAGCTGATGCCATCTTTTTTCATTCCAGCTAACCTTTAGTTGGTACTAATATGAGGATGAATATGCTCAAGTGTCAGGGTGTAAGGTCTTTCCCCCTTCAGATTTGCTTCCATGGTGACTTCATAAAATGTTTTCCTATAGCGTTGAATTTTCTTTTTGTCTTTCATGGATTTACAGAGGAACTGAAGCGGGTATTCACATGGCTTGGTCTGGATGTGAGGACTTACACAAACCTGACGTCTGGGGAGATTACAGATCTCATGCAAACTTGGCAGCGTTTGCAAGATCACAAAGACAGGAACTGTTTTAAATGTTGTATTCTATCTCATGGAAAGTCAGGAGCAATCTGTGGGACAGATGAGAAACCTGTATCAATCTGCATGATTATGTCCCACTTCACTGCCACATAATGTCTCAGCTGGCTGGAAAACCCAAACTCTTCTTTATCCAAGCATGCCAGGGTAAAAAGATACAGTGTCCTGAAGTTGATGTACAAATTCCTGAATTCTATTCCATGCAACAGAGCTTTTCTCTTTCTGAAAGTATTCCTGAAGATGCTAATTTCCTCCTAGTCATGACCACAGTTGATGGATGTGTCTCTTTCCATGACATTCCACAGGGTACTTTGTATATTCAGGCCCTCTGCAGCAAGCTACAGTTGTTGGTACCAAGGTGAATACTTTGCTTAGTGCTCCGATTAAAATATTTTTCTCCAAAGGCAATTCATATAGGAACACTAACCCATGTTCTAAGGTGGACAAAATTGGTTAAACTGATGGTTTTACACTGATAAATTTACATTAACACTGCTAGTACCATAGAGATAATCTGAAGAATATGAAGTTTATTGTAAAAGAAACCCTCAAAGCCTCCCATCTATAATCTTTAAAGCAGAGCTGTTTCTTGGGTGGATTGAGGTAAAAATATTTTGTTTCATTATTTCCCTTTACTGGTTAAATCAAGGAAGTCAAAACAAGAAAAGGTCTTTTGTTTTTCATATGACTCAAATGAGAACAGAAGAGGAGAAATTTAGAGAAAAGGATGTGTTTTCTTTTTTTGTGTTTTAACTGTTCATAGTGTATTTTCTAGCTTTTCAGGGAGGTGTTAAATGGATTGCCATCTGCTCACTAATAAGTAACTTTTTTATTCTCTCTTTCTGTCTGTAGGGGTAAAGATATTTTGTCAATTCTTACAGAAGTTAATTGGGATGTGGCCAGTCATGTTAACTACATGGGGACAAAGCAGATACTCCAAACAGCATGTACCTTTAGAAGATTTACATTTCCAATACCTAGGGACCTGTCTCATTCAGAGCAATATCAGGGCTTTCAAAACACATCATTTTATCATCTTATTTAAATGCAGTTCATCACACTGCCTATTTTAAGACTGTTACCCAAAATCCTGTGGATCTGTTAACTTCAAGGCAACACCTCATAAGTTTTTTGTCAAATGAATTGTGAAACTGGAGGAGACACTATTAATGCATGTGCCAGCTATTTACATCATCTGTATTTTCAGAGTTATCAGGGTTGGGAGAAACATGCTTCTGTGATGTTAAAAATCACAGGCTGCAGACAGAAAAGGATTTTTTTGGCAGCATAGGGGATGCATGTAACCTTCCATGTCTAAACCAGGACTGTTAATGGTCTAGTTTAGGCTCATCATATTTTATTTTGCAGGCTAACAATTTTAAATCCTTGTATTGGGTCTGGCTGAGCTGGAGTTTATTTCCCCATAGCAGCCCTCACAGTACTGTGCTTTGCATTGGGAGCCAGAAGGGTGTTGATAACACACCGGTGTTTTGGCTACTGGTGAGCACAGCATCAGCACTGTAACATTCCTTCACCAGTCAAGGGCAGGATTCTAGGAGGGGACACAACCAGGCAAGCTGACCCAAACTGACCAAAGGGATATTCCATACCACATGATGTCAGCTCAGATATAAAAGCTAAGGCAAGGAGCAGGGACATTCATTGTCTCCAGTGGCTGGGAAGGGGAGTGATAGAGTGGCTGGGTGGGCACCTGGTATCCAGCCACGGTCAACTCACCACAATCCTGCTTCTAAATCCACTAGCTATGTTCATAGAGAGAGAGAAAAGTGGGAATGAAGGGGAAAAGCTTAGGTAGTAAGTGAAAAAGGATTTCTTCCATCTCTAATGTAAATGGTGTTTAACTTAATAGAGGACCAGTTACCAACTGAAATCAGGAATTTGTCCCACAGTGCACACTGATACTGTCAAATGCCTAACATAAACTTCATGTGCAATGAGATTTTTCCAAGACTGAATAAAGCCAAAATGCTGCATATTATTCCCTCTGTGAAACCTTGTGAACTGTTACTTCCCCATCACTTCTGAGAAGAAAATTTAAGGTAGAAGATTGGCATGCTATGAAATACACCATTCAGCAGTGAATCTCTACAGGTATATCAGATTGATTAACTTTGTTAAACATTAAATTTTTTCATTATTGTTTCTTGGTTTAAGATCTAAAATGCAGCCGTATGAGAAACAAGGCTCCTTATTGATTAAGCTTCTAACAGGGAATTTTGTGAGTTAACTGAAATAATGCCATGTTGTTTGTTATGAGCATTTACTATGTATGCCTGTGTCCTTCCTGTTTATTACTGCATTAAATTCTTAGTTCTAAGAGCTGGGTGAGATAAAAATTACGTATTGGGGTAAGGCTTTTCCTTATTTCTGACTGGCCCCTGCGCTTTGTTAGGCTGCATGAATCAGTGGGGTTTTAACTGCTTCAGGGTTTAAGCTGAAGTGAAGCTTAGTTAATTTCAGCAAAGCACTCACTGTATATGGTTACTAGCCGTACATTAGGGTGAAGATTTGAAAGAGTACTGCTTAGTGCTGTTGGATGCAATTTCTAGCTTGCACTATTTTTAGGTGGGGAGTTTTGCAACTCCCCACAAGCAAACAAACGTGGTTGGTTGCTGTTGAGGCTCACTGATGGCACACAGAAACATATGCACATGCTCTCTGCCTACAGAATTAAGGAAGGGCTGTGTCTTGTGCAGCCCTTGTTTAGACAGATTTAAGTGAAACTAGTGTAAAAAGAGTCTGCTGGGGAAGTTGGGAAGTCTTGGGAAGACCAGAATCTTAAAGTGGGATTTGTAACATCCGCAAGTTTCTGGTACCCCGTCCTTCCTGTTGGTTTTTGTGCAGAAGCTGTGTATCCTGCCGTGTGCCAGTGGAGGCCACAGTCACTACAGTTGCTGAGCAGTCAGTAGCCTCAGCAGTTTCATTTCCTCTAGACCACCCTTTCTAAGCGAGGTGAATTTTTGGCAGGCCATACAAGGAAAAGATTGGGTCACTGAGACAGTTCTAGAGAAAGCCAGAGGGACAAAACCAGGGTGCAAGGAAGCTGAGGGAAATTAGAGAGACTGTAATTTAACGAAAGGACAGGAATATTTCCATGAAGGGTAAGAAAGGAAGAAATCAAAAGTAAAACTTACAGAGACACAATGGTACCGGAAGGGGTGGTCCTTTAAACTGCTGTATGAAGGGCGAGGCCACAATCAAGTATTTGTCGCACAGTGCAGATCACGGCAACTGAACTCTTGATTCAGGTAAGACACGGAAGAACTAATCCAGGGAAAGAGTTGCTGAGACTTGAGACGACATGGAGATAGACATATTTTGGACCTGAAGATGAAATTATACTTGTGGTGGCCCTTTGGGTAAAGGCACAACTCGTGCCAGTGAAACAAGTCGGACGGGTTTTCTGATCTGTTACTACCCTTAGCCTTTTGGAAGGAATTTGTATGCCTCATTCTATCAAAAGGTATGTTATCATTTTCAGTTTGTAAAGGTAGATAGGTTGAAATCAATGAATGACTGTCTTCATTGCAAAATTTTAACAAATTCTGGCTCTCCTAACTGTCCATCTTCATAATGCTGACTTCACAATTTTCTGGGAACCTGGTAGCCCTACTTACCACTGTTCACCTATTTCCTGCTGCATGGAAGAGACTGGTAACTAGCATGTTGGGAACCTTTCCACTTCAGAAGGTGAAAATGTCAGAAGTTAATTCTTGCTTAAATTCTCCTGTAAATGCGGAAGTATATTACATAAATCATTTCAAAAGAATGTTTAGTTGTTGAGTCCCCTGTATTTACTGAGTACTGCTACTGAATTTGGTGCTAAGAGTTGACTCTTTTTTATTTGGGAAATAATTTTCCTGTTGAAAATAGGCTAGGGTGAATTGGAGAGGGATTTCAGAGAAAGGAGGTAACTCATGGCAGATCTGGTGACACAGCAGGACAGTGGGTCTGAGACTTTTAAAATTAAAAGATATAATTGAGTCACCCGTCCCTCATTGTCTCTTAATCAGGGTTTTTATAAGAGAGCGAAAGTACTGAGCTGTGCTGTATGCTAGAAAGCACCAGGTATGCTGCTTAGTGTGTCCCCCTTAAAACAAAAGCAAAACCTGATTACCGTTGTGGCTTACTTATAATTTTTTTCTCACAAGTTCTGCAATAATCAATTTTCTGAAACTGGAATTGTGATAGGTGGAGTAGGGATCTGCTGCTTTATGACCAGTTTATTTAACATACTTCTTGTAAGTCATGTGACAATATAGATATCGTACAACAGTACTTTTCCTGGAACTTTAGAGACTATGCCCGTCTCACTTTTTTCAGAGTTGTTCCAGCACTCCTCCAGCCTGTCCTCCCATGTAAGTGATGTAAAATTACTATTATTATTCAGTTTGCATGTTGTATCAGTCGTGTCTTCAATTTAGTAAAGTGGGAGAAAAAGAAAGTGGCAGTTAAACACTGTTTTAGTTGTCCTCCCTGTAATTACAGACAAGCTTAAATGTAGTATATAGGTGGCACATGTGTTCTAACTGCAATAATTGGATGGGTTTGAAACTTACAGCCTTTGAGAAATAAAAATAGAAATTCCCTTTACAAGAAAGATTTTCTTTTGTAAGCATATACCTTGTATCTTAAACAAAAAGCATGATTTATGTGAGAAAGAAGATAATTGCCTAACTAGCTACCAAGAAAGTACACTTCTCTTTCCTGTGTGAATACAGAAATATAAAGTCAGATCTGCAGTCATCAAACTGTGAGTAGCATGATTTAGTGGTTTTGTGGTGATATGGGCTGAATGGTGTGGATTCTAGTCTGTTAAGAAGTTCAGTTTGACTGGATTTAAAGAAAACGGTATTTGGGGGCAGAGAGTGAATCGTATGTGCTGTTACAACACATTTTGCTATTTTATCATTTTTTTGGAAGACAAAGGTTTAAGATTCAGTTGTACATTCATTCTTGCTAACCAACAGAATGCTGACCAAGAGCATGCCACAAAAAGCTGTTTTGCTGTAGAGTGGTCCTTGGAGGAGAGCAGAATACAATTGTCTTCTAATTATTATTACCAGTTAGTCAGCTGGGCTACCTTGGAGTTACCAGCCCTGGTATGGAAACATTTGTGGTAGCAATAGGATTAAATGGATTGCATAGTATTCCAGTAGTGTAGGAGTAGAAAATTTTCATTTGCCCTTGTCAGCTTTTCTGTCTCCCAGTGACAGTGTCTCTCAATGGGACAAGAGACCTCTTCTGAAGGCATTTCTATTGAGTTTCTCTTCAGAGATTCCCAGGTGTCTCATATCTAAGGCAGAGAGAATAAAGTGGTACATGGTTCTCTTACTAGAGGGAAGTGGAGGCAGGTCCTTTAAGTATCAGCTGTAGAGAACCAGGTTTCTCTCAGCCTTTCTGAGTATTGCTGCAGGAAAGGTGTGATTGGAGGAGAGGGTCTGTGGAGGTGGCACAGTGCTGTTCTGGGCCAACTCCCTGCTCCGCCCTGAGACTCGTGCCCAGTCACCCACCCCAGCTCACTTCCTGGGGAAGGGCTGGCTGCACACACAGGCACAAAATGCTCAAAAAGTCCAATTTAGATAAGAGGCATGCACCAGGTTAACTATAACAGGGTGTGGATTGAGCCCCCCCTCTCTCTTTTTTCCTCTCTTTCCTCTGGCTCTCTTTCCCCAGCTCCACACCATCCACGTGGCAGCACCAATGCAGGATCTAAGGACTGGTGATATTCTTTGTTTTCTATTCTATCACATTCTACCCCATACTCAATTTTGAAGTTTGTTGTGGGAAGGGGGAGGTGTTTGTTCCTTGTGAGCCAGTACCTTTGTGGTTTGTGAGCCAGCACCTTTGAGTGGTGGTTGCCGCAGCTAAGACGATGGTACAATAAAACAGTGAGTTCCTGACACGTCTCTGGTATCTTTGTTCAGCCTGACAAGAATTTATAACAAACATCACGCCCCTACCACTGGGTTGTGACATCAGCAGAGGCAGGTTCTTTAAGTGTCAGGGTGAGATAGTTGCAAGGCTTGCAGTTGGTATTTTCTAACTTTCTCTTGTGCTAAAAGTTGAATCCATAAGCCAAGTTTAATAT